CAGGGCTGCAGCTCCTGCAGGCATACCAGAGCTGGCTTTCAACAAGGCAGCCACCACTAAGCACAACAAAAGCTACTCAGAAACCAGCAAGTATGCTGAGCTGAGCTGCTGCAACTACACTGTTTTGGTACCTGAGCAGCTAATTTAAAGCTAGCTTGGGCACATCTATATGAAGTGCAGCCATGTATGTGTGTGGACATAAGTTAAGTGTCACCATCATGAGATGAGAAACTGGTTTAAAAAAAAGACTTCCAGAACAGCCTCTCTGACTATGTAGTGGAAACCACATTATTTCAGCTATCTCCAAGTAGTCTAGAAAAAAGCCATGAAGAATATACATTAGAGAAATCTGATTTACCCCTGCAGGGAAAAACTAGATGACCTGGAAATTGTTTTTCCTCATCCATAACGTTTATCTTATGTAACCTAAACATTTTCCCCCCGTATGTTCTGTAAGGAAATAAACAGTGATATTCATATCACCATTAGACTTCAAAATCAACACCCACTTCGGGTAAACCAGTGAGGCCCAACCATTTTGGCTGGTATGCCACAGGGTAAGCCCTGTACCCTCTCCCAAGGGCCAATGCAATCCCTTGCCCCTGCCTGATCTGTGGCTCCGTTGTCTGACCCATCTGCCATATCCAACATACGGATGCCTGTGCCACTTCTGGCATGTGTGCCACGGGTTGACCACCCCTAAAGCTTACATCTCCTACGCAAATATTTTATGCTTTCTGTTCAACAAGGTAAAGCAATGCTGACAATATTCTGAGCTGAGCCCTGGAACCACAAACATTAGAAACTTAAAAAAGTAGAAGCAGAAAACCTGCAGAAACCAATGGGGTTATCATCCTTACTTCAAACCTGAGGTGCTCACTCGTACTAATGTACAAACATGCAGCTAAGCAGATCAAGCAGCATTCTCAAGGAAAATCCCACTGTCTCTATTCCTTCCCTTAGTAGAAACAGAAGACATGGGAGCTGGGAGCAGGGCTAGTCTCAGCCAGGATATGGATGCACATTAATACTTTGTAGCGTCCAATTGGTTTATGGTATGAGTTTAGACCATTTCCCTTAAATTCCTGATCTCATTGGTGGCCTATATAAAGTCAGAATGTGAAATTACACAGCTAATCTCTCTCTTATGTATTATTTACATAGTCCTATCAAACAGTTTTTAAAATTCTGATCACTTGCACAGGGTAGAAATAAGAATGCTCATACTGAAAAAGCCTTTTCAGTCCTATAACTCTCAAGTTGACACATCAACGTGATATAATTTATTACAGATGACATTTTAAATAAATTTATCACACATGACATCAGCATAGTAAAAAGGCAGAAAGCCAAGAAACACTCATTTGCAAAGGCACTGAAACCACAAAGTTCTGCAGGGTTAAAACGTTGCCAGTTTTGCAAACACAGTTGACTAGCCTGTTCCCATTACAACAGTTTTAAGCTGGCAGCATTCGTGTACGTGTGTGTTTTCAAACTCAACATTAAAAACTGCATTATCTTACTTTTATGCATGATATTTAGGTGCATCTCAACTTTGTTATATTTAAGCTAAAGCATGGAAAGTTAAATTAGCAACTGCCAAAAGAGTCTGGAAAAACTCAAGCACGTGAAGTTTATATACACGCACCCAGTAACTCAAGGACATTCACATTTAGATCATGTACACTGTTGTACCATATAAAAAAGTGGCTGGTACAAACCTGATAAAGTTTTTTTTTCCATGGAACAAATTAATTGACTCATTCTTGAATGCCAGCAAAAATTAGCAAGGGAAGTACTGTTGCAATGTTTGTTAAGCTATACAGACAGCTTTGGCAAAGCTTGCGGGACTACCATAGTGCCTTGTGTTTTGAAGGATTTTCCAAGCCTCTCTTCCACATGGTAAATCTTCAGACATTTCTTACTCTCACGGCTCCCCAATATGAACTGAAAGCTCCAAGTGCAACCAGCGCTCCAGGGTCAGGACTAGAAACAAAAAAGTATGTTCTTCTTCTAAACTACAGGTAACAAAAAACTGCTGTCTGATCTAGATGGAATGGCCTGGATTTCAAAAAACATGTTTTAAAATGTGAATTATTAATACCAAGAAAGGTCAAACACAATGACAGACAGACATTTTGACTACCGAATATGGTACAAAGAATGCTACCATGTTTACCCGAATACAAGATGACCCTGAAGTTAAGACAACCCCCCCAAAAATTAGATTCTAGATAAAGAAAATTTACAAATGTATTGTAATTTTTAATGTATGGAATCTAATTATTGGAGGATCATCTTAAATTCACCTCCTCACTACTGCAGTCAGTGGGGGGGGAAAGGTGATGGGGGGCAGCAATGGGGCAGGCAGTGGGGGGGGCAGGTGGTAGGAGAGGCAATAGGGAGCATGTGTTAGCATAGGCAGTAGGGGGAGTAGTGAGGGCAGGCAGTGAGAGGCAGGGAGCTTGCCCCCTGCCACCTACCTCCACCACTTACCCTTCCATTGTGCCTGCCCCCCTCAGCCCCAGATCCCTGATCCCCCTTTCCACCCCCCTTCATGCTGCTTCTGCTCCCCCCCTCCCTAGCCTTGGGCCTCCACCCCCTTCCTCCCATCTTTGACCCCCTTCCCCCCAGAGTCTTTACCCTCAAGCTGCCCCTCCACCTCCCTTCCCTTTGCTCTGTCACTCCTTCCTTGCAAGTTCCATCCCTGCTGGAGCCATGTCATGAGCATGGCTCCCATCTGGTCCCATAGCAGCAGTACAGAGCCAGCACTGGAACACATGCTCTGTGCTCCAGGCTGCAGCAAGGATGGAGCCTGCTGGCATGGAGCAAAGGTAAGGAGTGAGGCAGAAGGGGAGACAGAGCATGGGGTGGAGGACAGCAGTGGTTTCTTGAGGCTGCAAGGGAGAGTGTTGGGGGAAGAGGGGGAGAGGCAGGGGTGCAAAGGCAGCAGCTCCCTCCAGCCTCAACCCTGGGGTTGGAGCCAGAGCTGCAGCTGCTGCCCATCCCCTGCCACCTCATACTCATTGTAAGGTGAGGGGCTCCCCATTCCACATTAAATAGGGGAAAATAACCCTCATCTTGTAATCGAGTAAATGAGATACTTGAAACCACAGCCAGCTAACACATGCTACTTTGATTCTGCGAGTGATACTTAGCACTTTAATTTTTAATTATTTACAAACATTAAATAGCCTTCACACAACTTCTGCAATGTGGGCAGGAAGCATAATCCCTATTTTGTAGGCAGCAAAACAAGGAAAGGTTGTGCGCCACTCCAAGGTCACAGAGGTTTCCATACAAATGAAAGGATTAGACCCGTCCCTGTATTCAGAGCCCTAGATTATGTCTCTTTCTCTGCTTTCTCAGATAATAAAGCAAAACCATGAATTTGGACCATCGCTTTGCTAAATTATAGTTCCTTTTTCTGGATTCACTCCCATCCGAGCCGCTACATACATATTCATGATTACGCCCTATGTTATTAATGGCAAAGTCAGGATTTAATGTTTTTGGAGAAAACCGCATTGTAGTCAAATATCTAAGAACTGCTAGTTCCCACATTTTTGTTATCTTTCCCCCCTGCCCCGCCATGAACACACTAAGGACACTCAGAAATCAACCATCACATTTTTAAAGACTGCCAGGGTGGGATGCCATCTCTTATGAAAAGAGAAACATTTTCTGTGTCAGTGACCACTAGCCAAAAAAGGTGAATCAAAGAAAAAAATTATAATTTTGCACCTTAAACATTTCTAGAATGTGAACATGAATTAAAGGACTTCCACAGCCACATGTTAAATGCAAAAGACACCCTTTAAGACAGAAATAATTTCTATGTTACTGTATATCAGAATAAGAAATAAGAACAGTTAACATCACGATGCACACAATCAGTCAGCTATCCTGTCTTGTGTCTCACTTATTTCCTACTCGACTCAATTTCCTTAGCAGACTTGTACACTACTGATTTGCCAGCATGATCGTCCATTGTTGGTTCTAGACACTAAGCCCAGCCAATATTTTTATTACAGTTGAAGGGTTAGCAATGGAATAACATTTCCAACGACCTTCCTTTTGAGCTGCAAAAAAAGGAAGTGTTCATATGTATCTATGAAAACAAAACATCCAATATTTGCTGCTTTGCGGTCGATGATGAGCTGTGGGCCAAACATTTTGGAAGCCGCTATTCTAGGGGCTTCAAGTCGGCTGCTAAATGATGCAGCCTAACTGTGATCAGGATTAACACTAGGAAGTTTACACGCTGGGACTAGCATCCCCGAAATAAGGGCTGGTTTAGGTTTGCCTGAGAATACTGCTAGGAACACACAGCTCACGCGCTTTCTTCTCCACCACGCAACACACGTGACAGCAGGCTTCCCTGACACGGAGCACCCACCCAAGGACTGCAGACACGAGGCCAGTAAAGAACCTGTGGAGCGCACCGCTTTTGTTCTTTAAACAAAGAGTGGCGTTTGCAACAGATAAACGGAAGAGAAAACATTCATGGTTAATACCTCAGCTTCATAACATACTTCATGATTTAGATATTATTTTAGGATTTTAGTTTTAAACCGTCACCGATACACATCAACTATACGGTGCGGTACAACAAGTGAAAGAGACCTATTCAACGGAGCCCCGCAGACACCGTTACGCAGCGCCAGCCACAAGAACGTCACCAGAAGTCTCGTTTTCTGCACCGGCTATTTGCCTTTCTGGCCGTGGTTTACTGCTGTGGGGCTCCCCAGTTATACACAGCGGCAAGGCCTATCGCTGCACGCGCGTCTTCCCTTTCACCCGACGCTGCCGTGCTTTACGGCTGCACGCCTGCCTGATGTTCATCTCCAGACGAGACCCTCAGGATGTTGCACACCAGCCTGATGTTTATATGAAGACAGGACTCTCAGGATGTTGCACATCTCTGACAGCGCTGTGGTTGTTAAGGGCAGCTAAGTGCTGCTCACAGGTGCGGCAGCCCGCCGACGAGCGTGTCTCACCATGATCGGGTCCTAGCGGGGCGGGGCCGGG